GTCTTTTTCAGTGCATGTTACAGGCAGGAATGTCAGACACTCGAGAGACATGTGTAACATTACAGGCAAAAAGTCTGGGTTCTTCTCTCTGGTTCCTCAGGATGGATTTCTGGGACCATATACATTCTGACTCTTGCCTAGAGATAATGAATCAGGCAACAAAAATAAACTGTATCATGACTTTTCTTCTGTTTCCTCTGTAACCTGTGCAACTGACCTACTTCAGGGGAGGCTGTGATACATATTGAAATAAGCACATTTAAGGTTGTTGTATAGCAAATGAGACAGACATTTTGCCTCTTATTCACCCCAGACCTTTAATTACCCTCCTTTATCTCCACCTAATTTAGTTTCTTTATCTTTTAGTCTCTATGTCTTATCCCACCATTTTTTTTGCATCATACAAAGAACAGGTTTTGTACCCAGAGGTCTTAAATAAGGACCTTTATCATGGCATTAAAACTGTGTTTTAAACCAACAGACCATTAACCTACTGCTAGCCACTGCACAAGATGGTCAGCATACTTTTCCATGTTATTGTGACCAGGCTTTTGAGCAGATAGCAGTCGTAATACTGCTTTTGGGGAGCAAGTGTCATGAAAGGAGTGCCATGACACTGTCTGCAGTTGTCATGTATGTGGAATACTCAAAGAAATAGCACAACAGATCAATCACATGGCTTACTTCGTTAGCACTGTGCTATGTGTCTGTTTGAGGATGGATGGATTAGATCTGGATGCTCACTCTGGCACAGGAGCAAATCACTTGATAGCAAATTAAGAACGAGTAAGGAATAAAGTTGATAGCCTACAGAAAGCTGTGGGAATAAAGCTGTTTTTGAAAAGAGGGGGAAAATCTCTTCATTTTCCAATGGGAAAGAACTTGATTAATGGATCAGGTAACTTGAATTTTGGAAGTTGTAGAGAGTCCTGCTCATGTTAGGAGTAGCCTTTTCCAGCACGTCAACAGGAGCAATAAGGTCAAGGGAGTATGAGGAGGTTGGAGCGCAGGGGAAACAATGTGGTTGTTCCCCTAGGCTGCTGTGGTGTATCTGTCAGCAGGGGATATGGGTGCAGCATTTCTGCAGGAGGAGCCCGTGTGTTAGTACAGCAATGGCAAGTGGCAAGTACAGCACACACTACAGAGGGGTACAGGTACAGTCAGGCTGGCCATGTTTGTAACTGGTTATACCATGTCTATCCCCCGCTGAATTGTTTCCCAATTGCATATATAACTCTGAGTTAAATGAGCTTCTCTTGTGTGACTGAGGTGTTTGAAAGCTGCTTGCACATTCTTGGGACATAATGGGGAGCTCTGGGGTTTTGAAAGCCAGGTTAACAAAAAGAACCCATGTGTTACTTTCTTCTCATACAGCAGCACTGGGGCTCAGACTACAGATGAATCAAGGCTGCCAATTCAATCATCCAGAAATACTTTATCAGCAACTAGCAGCTAGCTCAAAAATTTCAGTGCCATCTTTGTATTTCTTTGCCTTTTAATAATCATAACTTAGCAATCTAATTTGGTGGTTTTACATTCTGTCTCTTTACAGTATCACCTTGCAGATTGTAAGACAGTCATCTGTCTTCTTGGAAACATTTTTCACTGTTAAAAAGCATCCAAAATTTAAATAAATACTTGGACTTCCGGTGGGTTTGGGTTTCTTGTTTGGGTTTTTTGTTTTTTTTTCCTCTTGCTCTCTGTTTTTTAACTACAAAGTTCCAGGAAAGGAATTATTAAACCTGGACTCTATGTGAAATGAGGGCTTGTAGAGGGAGAAGGCAAGGGCTACTGTGGCTGAGCTGAAGGACACAGAACAGACAGACTCCTTAACAAGTCAAGGATCTAAATGTAAGCTAGTCCATTCCCAAGAGCCACTCAAAATTATTCTGTTCTGTGGTTGATTTATTTATAACTATAGCTGTTTCAGTGGGAACAAAACATTAGGCCGAATTCTGACCTCAGAATATAAATGTAGAATCATTTCACTCTGATTTTTTAAATTTTTATGTCATTGCTTTGGATTCGTACTACTGTAACTGGAATCAGAATCTGTTCTGTTGTATTAGATTTGTTTGGGTTTTTTTTGCTTCGAGACTGCATTTCTCCTATCCTTTTCTCTAATTCTGAACAAAAAGAGCAGCAGAGTGTATGTTTAAACTAGTGCTGCAGCCACCTCTATATGCTCATCTGTACCTTGAGGCTGACCGGGCTGTGAGCCTCCTCCATACTCCGGGGACAGACTGGCTGGCAGGCTCGCCAAGGCTGAGGAGTCTAGCTCACTGCACAGTTCCCAATTTCATTCAGTGGTACAAGGAGGCACTTTTTAACTGTTTAGGAAACCATGGAGAGCCATTATGGATTCTGCCATACCCAGGTGATAAATCTGTGATAGCAGCAATGTTTCACTCTTTATTTAAGAGCAAATGAAACAGAGATAGCTTTGCAAAATTGGAGAAGTTCCAGAATGGCAAGTGGCACTGCACAGCCTGTCTGAAAACCTAATGCACATGAAGAGCAACAGGAACACTGCATGTTTATTATGCACCCTAGGCTGTTCTGCACCGGCTCTTTTTTTCCTGTGTTATTTACGTGTCCTCAAATTGACTGCCTAACACATCTAAAAAGCTGTCAGATGAAAGTCCTCACTCGCAGCAGAAACAATGTTCTACAGCCTTTGCACTTACTGCCTGTAACTGTTAAGTGGGAATATGGGCTGGAGAGAAGTTGAGGGATTTGTCAGCTTGTTTTACTCAGCTTCTTTTAGTCAGTTAGTACAGAAGTATGAGTTCCTTCATTATGGTAACACTCTTCAGTAACAATCATATGTCACCCCGTGGAAGATAAAAGTAATTATTCTTCATTTTGGGACATGCCTTTTCTGGATCAGAAAATACAGTGCCTTCAAGAATTCATCTCTCAATTCAGTGAATCAGCTTGCAGTGACAAGTGCCAGCTATTCCCCTTCCCCTTTTTTAAGACTTAACATTTTGTTGGGTGTATTTTTAAAAATCTGGTTTGGGTAGCTTTTACAAAAAAAATAAAGCAGGTTGCTGCTGTAATCATTCCTGAATTTAGCCATGCTCTGATGGCTGAAATGTGATCCCCCTGGTTAATATGCAACTAACTGGGTCTTCTGTTATATTTGTTGATAGATTGTATTTCTTTTGCCCTTGGAAATAACAACAATCGTTTGTTATAATCCAGGTGTTTGGCTAATCATGTGGAGTTTTGACTCAAATATTGCCAAGACATCTGTATGTATTGTCATTTCCGTAGCTTAGTATTGTCTCAACTCGTGGCTTGAACATTTAGGCCTCTTCCTCTGTGACCTTAGATATTAGCTTTAGCATTGAGATGAATTGATGTGACAACCAAAACCAAACATTTCTTAAGGAGATAAAGTAGTTCTGCTTTGATAGATACAGCTATTTCTTTGGTCCCCGTTTTGTACATCAGGAATAAGAAGGGCTGCACTGCATCTCTAAAGCTGCTTGGAATTATATCAGCCTCCGCTGAACCCTTTACAGGCCAAAAAAAGCCGAGACATTTTCCCACATTATCTGCACTGCAGCGATGGCAAATGTTAGAGGCAGTTCAGGGATATGCTAAGCAGCACACTTCTGCATGCTGATGTGCTTCCCCACTCACATGCTGACACACATAGCAGTGTTCACATCCACAGTGCATATACCCTGGTACTTCCTTGGCCATGGAGTCCAAAACAAGGCACGTGTTTCTGTCGATGGGACCCAGACTGGTTACAGCCACAGCTGATCATGTGTATAATCTGTAATCAAAAATCTGTTTTCAGTATGGGAAATTCTCACTGTATGTCCTCATGTCCCCCTCAGTGAAACTGGGCAATTTTTCTATTAATTCACCACTCTCATGAGTGCTGAGCAGTATTTAACAGGAGACTAAAATTTGAAAACTAGAAAGCTTGCAACAGTGTTAATTTAATATCTCCATCTTCTTTCTGCAAATAATAAATGTTTTTCTTGTTGAGAGCGTGAGCTGGGCTTTTAGGGAGCAGGGGACTGGTGAGCTGTGAGGGTTTTTTGTGGTTTTTTTTTTTTTTTTAAAGAAGCAATAACTGCAGTTATGTAGTTCAAATCTGACTAAAACATGAACTATAACTAAAAAATCAGGAGGATGTGCAACAAAGCAAAGTAGCAGTAGAGTTTTGAACGTGGCACTAAAGTCATCATGTCTGAAGCACAATCATAGAAGAAGATGAACCCTTCAGCTTTTTGAGGCAGCTGAGTGATACGCAATCTCGTGCAAGATCAGTCTTTAATGAAGCGAGGTTTGGAAGGAATTATTGGTGCCACATTTTGGATGCCTGGCTATTTACTTGCAAGTGTTGCTTTTGCTGCTACTTTGGAGTCTTCAGCTGCAATTTGTTGTGTGACTTCTAAGGTATTTTGGAAGAGCTGTTCCTGTGTCTCTTCAAGAATTTTTCTATTAAAAAAGCAATCAGATTGGTACCCATAAATGGGAAGAAGATGAAAGCAAAAGGGTCTGTCCTTCAGTCAGTTATTTCAAATTCAGTATTAAATCTCATGCTGTGAAATGCCACTGTTGAATAAGATGAGCAGGAGTGTGTCTACCACTTATAGGACAACCCGTGTGTGTATGCGTGCATGTAAGGGAACAGCCCTCTTGGGATGTAAAATCATTTATGTTAATGGGACAGTGTGCACTGCAGTGAAAATCACATTTCTGAATGTTACAATACTGGATGTTCCCCCATTAAATTACTCAGTGAAAAAGGACCAGTACCTGTCAGTCTTGATCCATTCAACTTGCTTAAGTATTTGGTTATCTTTGGGGCTAGCGGTCAGATAAATGTATGCATTAAGTGATCTTCTGGGCCGAAAAGGAGGCCCAGGAAGTCATACCCTAGTTTGTAGTTACAAACTCATGCTTTACTCCAAAGCTATTGTCTCGGGAGGATGACAGGATGGTTATGACAACCCTGCCTTCTCTATTCACAGGTGTTCCCTTTCCAAAGAACTTCCTTCAGATCTGCAAGAAGATACTCTGCCGGCTTTTTCGGGTGTTTGTTCACGTCTACATCCATCACTTTGACCGTATCATCCTTATGGGGGCTGAGGCCCACGTCAATACCTGTTACAAGCATTTTTACTACTTTGTGACAGAGCTCAACCTCATAGACCGCAAAGAACTAGAGCCTTTGGTAAGTGTGGGGTCTGGGGGAAAGCTCTAGGAAATTTTCCTCCTCCCTTCACTGAGCCTTTCTCACACTTGTTGCAGTGTGTTTCCTCAGGGAATAAAGTCCATGGTTGAATACAGGCAATTTAAAGGGATGAACTCTTGCCTCTCCCCATAGACCCATTCTATCTACTGCAGTATTTGTGAGATGCTCAGTAGGCTCAGTAGAAAGAGAAAAGAGCAATGTATTTTATATGGAAAAATGCAAAGTGGGAAGTACTGCTATTTGAAAATAGAAGCTAATTTGTCTTCTGTTTCTTCCTGTACTATATATTTCATATATAATTTTATTCTGTCTTTTTTCATTGGTCAGTGACAGCACGGTACTCAGCAATCACATGAATGCATGTGAAGGGAACAGTGGTCTATATAAAGGTGAATTGTTTTGCTTGGAGTGTTTTTTTTAAAATCTTTAAGTAGGTGTTTGTGAAGGTATTGAGTGTGTTAGATCCAGAGCACACTCTGGATCTAAGTGAGACAGATGAGGTGAGATAGAGGTTCAGACAATTAGCAGCGTAACAAAAGCAGACGCTTCCTTTTGGACTGAAATAGATCAAAATTGAATTTATCGTTTCCAAAAGTAAAGGTCCAGAAATGGAAATGCTTTTGCTCTTGCTTGCAAATGCAAATAAAATAAAAGTGTAAGTAGAGAAGGAAAAGTAAGGCATAATTCAGAAAGCATTTTATACACAAACGTTCACTGTGGGCATTTAGCCAGCTTTAAAAGGGATCAGGGCAACATTTCTCCATGGGTCAGAGTTTGGAAAATACTGTGTCGGACAGCTTATTGATGAAGTGCTAGAACTACTGGGATTTTTCTTCTACAGAATCGCAGAACGGCTGAGGTTGGCTGGCACCTATGGATATCATGTAGTCCAAATCCCTGCTCAAAGCACTGTCACCTAGAGAGGGCTGCCCAGGACCACATCAAGTTTTCAGTTGTTCCACATAAAGGCACATTGCAAGGAGGTGTATAGCTTAGTTGGTATGAAATACTTCTGAAAGTGTGGCAAAGTGATGTTTGCCTGCGTTTCTGCCAGAGTTGGAGCTTTTACAGGTGTGGTACATTTATATGCTTATGTTGACTGAAAGAGAGCCTGTGAAGTGAGACAAAATGGATGGTCTTGTTTTCAGCAGTTCACAAGGCCTGCTGAAAGACACTGCATATGGCACGTGCTGATAACTTGCAAGGTATCTATTGTTTCTTTTTAGGTAGAAAAACTTAATATGCCCTCTAAATTTCTCCTAAGGGATAGAAGGAGGCCCAGCAAAAAGAAGTTCGCTGCCAGACTACTGACCTAGGTTAGCTGTAGCTGTTAAATGTTGAGGGTGTGTTACAAGCAAGATGCAAGGCAGGATACCTCAGAGGTAGGAAGAGAGGCTGTCTTAAGGCCGTTACAAGATCCTTGCTTGCTTTGGAATACAGAGAGCACAAAAATGATTTAACGCTGCAGTTGGTGGTTAGCAATATTCCTGCACTAAGCAGACAGACGAAGGATTGGGGCCAGAGTGGCGCAGAAGGTGGCCCAAGTCCAGCAGCAGAGCAAGCTAGAATGTGCTTCAATTGGTGCGTGCTTTCCCCTTGCATTCCAGCATTCCCTCCCTTCACAAAATTATCCTTAGGATCATCACATGATGTGGTATTATTAACTTTGCTGGGATGGAGGGTCTCCCAGAAAAATGTTTCACCTGCACTGAGGGGGCACCATGTCAGCAAACTGACAAAGCTCCACCTCCTTCCATCTTTCTGTCCTTGACTTGGGTAGGTGTCAGCCTTTTGGAAATGCAGAAAAAACCATATGTCTGTATTTTTGTCTTCAGCTGGGCAGAGAGGAGGGAAGAAGTTGCCAAACAAAAGCAGACATTACAAATAATCTTGAATTTTAATGCAGTATTTGAGGACAACCTGTGCCCTGCCAGGTTCACCGTGGCAGGAAATGAGCCCACATTATCTCCCTTAATTAGAAAATGGTCCAAGAGCTGATTAAATAAACAGACTGCCACATGCTTTAATGAACAGGAAGGCAGCTAATTTATCCACATAACTTGAAGAAGGGAGAAAAATTGGGCAGCAGGCAGTAGATGAATAGTAATATTAGCCTGCAGGACTTAATGCTCTTTGTTTAAAATAGATTTTATCAGCCTTTTGCAACTCAGTACAGCAGTTATAAAATCAAATGAAGCAAATGAGTCAAATAGGTTTCCCCCTCCCATTCGGGAGTTGCGTAACTTGTCCTTTCTGCAGTCAAAGACAGGGCTATAGTTAAAAATGCTGCGTATCTTTTTCCCATCCCTATCACAATGTTAATTTGACAGATTCCCCAGTCTTTTGCAGAGCTGTTTTATGTGGGGACAAAAAAAGAAGCTGGCACAGTCACTGACCCAGCAGGTGGTCCTGAGGGAAAAAAAAACATGTCCAATTGGTTAATTTAGGGGAAAAGAAGAAGTCTGAAAGCATATCTGCCCTTTTCTGCAGCTAACAGGCAGACAAGGCAGTCTGCACCGTGAGAGCTCTCAGAAGACCTTTAAGGCATGTCTCTGTGGGGAGGCTATCAGGAAATAAACTGAGGTTTGAATTTTAAGATGTGGTGTCCACTTTGTGCTAGCTCCCTGTGTAACCAGCTTTATTTTCCACTGGCAGTAGTTCACCTTAAATTCACTTCTGAGCCTCTTCCCAGGGCCAGAACTGTCTAGCAGAGTGGTGCCTATTACCTCCATCCCACCCTCACCCTGTGTAGGTGACTGCTTGTATAGGGTACTTTAAAGAGTTCATCTAAAAGTGCTTTTTGGTGAGAATCTTAATGCAGCTGCCTCAGCACAGTAACTTACTGTTTAAATGACAGCCCAGCTACAGCGAGTAATGCCCCTCTACTTCCTTCCTGTGATCCCTTTTCTGTAACAACAGATTTCATAGTATGTAGGACTTAAGAAATGTGCCAGAGTACTTTATAAGCACATCATGAGCAAAACAGTCTTGCTTCAGGGAATTTTACTTAATTTATCGACAGTTAACAAAACTTTTGATTACAGATGTGGGTATTGAGGCAAAAAAGACAATTAAACAAAACACTTCGTGAAGAAACACCTTTCTTCCTCAGGCTCTACTTCTCTTCTCCCCTTCTTGGTCTCAAGTCCGCTTGGTTTTGCTACATATTGCAGTCAGCTACTCCTGATCCCTTTGGGGAGGTGAGGGGCAATGCAGGAGACCAGGGAAGTGTGTACTGCTTCTTGCTTCTTACTTGTTTTCCTCCACTCCAGCATGGGTTTACTGTGGGACACAGTCCCTCTGTGGTGTCCTTGCTTTGGTGTGGGTTGCCGATGGCCCATAGTCCCCTCAGTGCATCTCCAGCCACAACCTCAGCAGTGCCACCAGCCATGTGTCCTCTCCTCTTAGCAGCTTCTGCTTTTTAAATATCTGTGGGCAGAGGCCCCGTGTGTTTCTCTGACTGGTTGAAGTTTTCGCATGTGGTGGGTTATTTGCAGTGGTTTCATGGAATAAGCTTTGACTGGCCCAGGACAGTTCATGATGACCCACAACAAGTCATCCCTATAGCCCCCAAATACCAAAACCCTGCCAGTTATGCCTGGTACATTGCATTGCATTCTCTGCAAAGTAAGTCATGTGCAATCTGTTGGTTAAAGCCTTGCTTTCTGTTTGCAGTTTTGTTGTGGGTTTCTTGCCTGTCTCTGGGTAATAGCTCCCGTCATGAGTTTTCCCATGTGGAATATCAGAATATTTAGCATTTGACAGAAGTATTGTGAGCCTAAATTCAACAGTGTTTACAAAGTACTCTGATGCCACAAAGTAAGAGTTGTAATCAAGAGTAGAGCTTGCGCCTGGTTCAACTTCCTACCTTCAGCAGCAAGCTGGATCCTTGACACATACAAAAGGAATGGGAAGACCAAAACGTCCTGTGTTCCTTAACTTGGCATTCTCTGGCTTGCTTTGCTGTTGCTTTAGGAGTTCCAGTGGTGAAAATGGGAAGTGTGCAAGCACCACACCATCATGCTTCCTAGCTCAGTAGACATCACATGAAACTAGCAGTCTGTTGGTCTGGGCTCTGAACAACAGATCCAGACCCTTGTTCCCCTTCTGTCCCAGGGGGTAGATTGGATATCTTTAGAACTGCTTCACAGAACACCTTGATGTTATTAAAGTGTTCTCAATATATGCAATCATGTACTCTATCCTCGCTTGCAAAAGGTGTAGCTCTTTTTAGTTAAGATATAACTTGAGACCGTTTTTAATATATTTTGCTGGGACAGGTCACTTGTCAGCTTTTTTTACTTTTAAGGAATACAAGCTGCTGTATGCAAGGCAACATAATCCTTTCCAAATAGTTTTTGATTTCGTTAGCTCAACACAGCATAAATCATCATAAATCTGATTTTCCCTTAAAGAGAGGCTTCCAGTGATGTGGCAGCATCAGAGCACAGCAGTTTCTCTGGCTCAAATAACACCGTTTCAAAGAAAAATAATCCCTCCTTCCATTCCTCTGTGTGAGGGGGTGGGATGTCTTTTTTAGCAGTAGCTGGTGGCCAGCTTCAGATGCCTGGTCTGGCTTGGTCATTGCAGAGCCTGTTTACTGCTGCACTCTAAGCTTAGCTGGAGTGGGCACAGATCCCGTCATGAAACCTGAGGATCAGTGCAGCTACAGCAACATGACCTCTAGAAAGGCTGGGGGGAAGAAAAAACTAAAACCTTATGAAGAGCAATAAAATTAATGCCAGATAGGCATTAAACCACAAAGTGGTTGGGCTTTTTTTTCCCTCTCAGACAGAGAGACAGAGGCAAAGAATCCAGCAGCTATACTTCTTCAGTCATGTAAGAGCCTTCTGATTCAGAGGCCTTAGAGAATCTCAGTGGAAGGCATTTTGTCAAGTAACGGTTGGTGATACAGCCATCTACTCCCAACTTCTCAGCATTGATCTGTATGTATTGCAGTATCTCGTTTTGATTTCTAAATCTGTGTATTTTAATTTTCCTGTTATATCACTGTGCCTTGTGTTTTTCAGAGTTAAAAAAAACCCAAACACCTAAAAACATGATGATATTTCACTGTTAAATTTGGAGGTCTGAGCATCATGTAATTCACTTAAAGGAACAAGGTTCCTAAGATGCAGGTATTTTTGTAAAAACTTGTGGGAGGTGTGGACCCAGCTCTTTTTCTCACTATTGAGACATGACCTTAAATTATATTTCTAAAGAAGAGGGATAGAGGAAAAAAAATATAATTGGTCTTTTTGCTATGCAAATCTGTGCAAGGTCATAGAGGGCCTGAGAATGTGTGGAGGGCTTGTACATTCAATATGTACTCTGAAACTTGTGTTCTAATAAAAAATCTAGGTGGCAAACCCAAGTATATTTCATCTCTCCCTGGCCCCCCAGTTACAGAATTGTGAGCAGGTCAAGCGTTCATATCATGCCAATGAGCAGTGGGAAGTGATGCGCAAGGAGGACCCTGCCAAAAAGGGAGGAATGATTCACATAGTTTAGTGCATTATTTGCTTTTCTTACTGCTATTAGGAATTGACAAATGCACAAATCTGATTGCCAGAGATAGCAGTATATGCCATTTTTGTACATTTTCCCGTTTAACCAACATAGTGTCCTCTTACAGAGCAAAGAGTACCTTTTGTGCTCTTTCAAAAATGTATTGCAAACCAGTCAGATTCCCATTAAACTCCTACATAACTTTGGAAACTATTGATGGCTGTGAAATTTCCCTCTGAGGACAGGGGTAAAAGAGAGCAGAATATGGCCATCTGCTTTGCTCATTCTCCAGAAGTCTTTTTTTTATAAATTCCATCCTGTGAGAACTTTGACCTTCTTCTCAGAAGTCATTTTTTATAAACTTCTTTTTTATGAGAACAGAAAGTAATAATTACACTTTAATGAAGAAAAACAGAGGAGGATATTATTTATGTGTGCCATTCTGATAACTGTTAAAACACTGATTTCATTTAGATGCAGAGACAAACTGTTAAAACACTGATTTCATTTAGATGCAGAGACAATCAGCCATGGTAGCAAGTGGGTAGCGCTGGGGCTGGAAGTGGTGGCAGTCAATGGTGCTGAGTGTATAAAAATGGCGAAGCTGGTAATTGCCTCCATAAGGATGGAGTTCATCTGCAGGATTAGCAAAACCAGTAAGGTTTTCTTCCTTTATTCTCCATTTTTCTCAGTGTAGAAGCTTTACAGCATGATTTGCTTCTGATAACATTTTCATCCAATATTTGGAGCTGCTTAAAAGTACCCATCTAAATGTGGGGGTTTTCCCAACTCTACAGAAAACTGTCTTTCTGAATGGAATTTCTAGTGCTTGTCCAGGCAGTCTGCTAAGTAAAGAGATGAGTGTTTAATACATTAACCTAATTATTAAACTGTTTAGTTGTTTGGGGCTTTCTTCTTTTTTCCCCTCTCCCTTTTTTCCCCCTATGAAGCAATATTATATATTATTTGCAAAAACCTACTATGGTCTGGGTGACAGAAGATTTCAAAGTTAAACGTGTTCAGGAAATTAGAAATTACGCATTGACGTTTGTGTAATGACCATAACTCTACCTTGCTATATTTTGTGATTCAGAGCTGCATTGATGCCCTGATGACCCTGACAGTAATCTGAGGTACTTTCTTTTCAGTCAGTGGAATTGTTCCAGATCTTCCCATAAAATTCAGAGAAAAATCTAGCCCTGCAGTCACAGGTGGTATGTTCATGTGTTGTTTTTCCACCAACACAAGTATTGCACAATATGCTGCTTTGTGTGCTGCCGTAGGGTGCTCTGCACGCCGTAGATGTATTAACTGAGAGGTTCATAGGCATGTTTAGCAGAACAAGAAAAACTACAAGGCGAAAAGGAAGAGTTATTTTTGTACTTACAGCCAGGATGTCAGAAGTGCTGCCATATGTGTGGCATTGTTGGTGAAAAAATTTAAAATAGGTGCAATCTTTCCTATTTTCCAGTCAATGGAGACTTCACCTCACTGCCATGACTTTTCAAATATCATGGAGTGGCTTGGCAACTATATCAGCCAATTCCCTCAGGACTCTGGGATGCATCTCATCAGGTCCCACAGACTTCTGTATGTTCAGGTCCCTCAGGTGGTCACAAATCTGATCTCCTCTTACCATGAGAGGGACTTCACTCCCCCAGTCCCTGCCTTGTGGTCCATCCATTTGAGCGGTGTGGGAAGAGAGGTTGTCAGTGAAAACTGAGGCAAAAAAGTTGTTGAGTACCTCAGCCTTCTCCTCATCTGTTGTTACCAGTTTGCCAGTCTTGCTCATGAGGGGGGATACACTTTCATTGACCTTCCTTTTCTGACTGACATACCTTCTTATTTTTCTTGGTGTCCCTTGCCAAGTTGAGCTCCAGACAAGCCTTGCCCTTCCTGACCCCATCCCTACACAATCAGGCAGTGTCCCTATACTCTTCCCAGGATACCTGTCCCTGATTCCACTGCCTGTGCATTTTGGTCTTGCCCTTTAGTTTGACCAGCAGGTCTCAACTCAGCCATGCCAGTCTCTCACCTTCCTTTCCTGAACTCTTACACCTGGGGATCAAGAGCTCTTGTGCTCTATGGAAAGTGTCCTTAAATATCTGCCAGCTCTGTTCTGCTCCCTTTTCCCTGAGGATGGTTTCCCAGGGGGTCCTGTTGACTGACTGCTTGAGCAGCTGGACGTTTTGCTGAGCAGTTACACATAGCCTAATATTGGCATAAGACAGATGGTGGAAACACCGAGCCGTGGGAAATGTGATGGGGCAACTGTTGCTTTTGTGGTAGCCTGCACTTCTGACGGCACAAACACAGCCAAAAGTGGAGTCCTTCACTGTGTGCTGGATAAGTTAGTGCCCTTACCTTCGTGTGGGAGTTTGGGCTTGCAGCAGTTGCTAGTGCTAGTCCTGCCAGATGGTAAGGGGATCACACAGAAGTCAGGATAACAAATCAAGAAGTCTCCAATTCTCATGAGTTTCTCCATCCTGTTTCTTTCATCCTGTTTCAGGATGAGCTAATTAAAAGTACTGTAGGCAGGTGGTGCTCAGGTGAACACTTAAGACTCTCTTTTTGCTTTGCCAGGGCTACAACAACGATAAATATCAGGCCCCCAGCTCTGTCACTACTGTGCATGAGGCACCAGTAGCTGCTGTTACACATCCAATTTACTACAAACAGCACAGCAGGTCAAAGGAGGTGATTCTGCCCCTCTACTCCACTCTTGTGAGACCCCACCTGGAGTACTGCATCCACCTCTGGAGTCCCCAACATAAGGACATGGACCTGTTGGAGCGTGTCCAGAGGAGAGCCACGAGGATGATCTGAGGGCTGGAGCACCTCTCCTATGAGGAGAGGCTGAGAGAGTTGGGGCTGTTCAGCCTGGAGAAGAGAAGGCTCTGGGGAGATCTTATTGCGGCCTTCCAGTACCTAAAGGGGCCTACAGGAGAGCTGGGGAAGGACTTTTTACTAGGGCATGTAGTGACAGGACAAGGGGGAATGGCTTTAAACTGGAAGAGGGCAGGTTTAGATTAAACATTAGGAAGAAGTTTTTCACTTTGAGGGTGGTGAGGCACTGGCACAGGTTGCCCAGAGAGGTTGTTGAGGCCCCATCCCTGGAG